TTTCCGTGTGACTGAGATAAACCTGTTCAGGACCAGCTTGTAATTAATTAATTCAGAGGGTTAGAAAGGTCCCAAAATCGATGACTTTTCTATGGGACATAACTTGTGGCGCTTAACTCATTTGTTTCCATAAAAAGATGTTATGAGTTCCTTCACATTTTGTTGATCATGCATAAAAGCCATCGTGAAGCCCAAATACCCATACACTAAGCGCGTGCTTTAGATGTGGCGTCATCGACAAATTTTTCTGTAACGGAAGCAGATTGAAGCTCTTCCGTGCCAAAAAAAGGGATAATTTTAAGACTCATTGTAAGACTCTTAGAATTCTCTCTTAGCACCAGAAATAGAAAAGACCAATTTAAAGATAAAGGTGTTATTTGCCATGATCGTCAGATTTAGAGAACCAACAATTAAATCCTTTAATTAATTAACAAAAGTGATCTGCGTATAACTTCTCCTTGGATTATCAATACATTGTCTTGTGAAGAGACGACAAGAATATCAAAGTCTATCAGTTAGAAATGTTTTTTTTTTTTTTTCATAACAAGGTATTTTATTGGCTTATTTACAAGAATATGTTAAAGGTAGATTTACCAACCAGATCTTACAGGTTTACTAAGGATCAGATTAGTCCTGTGGCTCAAAAGGTGGCTGGGTGTTTTGGTAATCCGCAAAACTGGATTTTCTTTCTCTATTTCTAGAGACGTTCTTTTTCATTCTTATATTTATCTAAGAAAGGAAAGAGTGTTATTGCAGTTTGAACGACTTCTTGACCCATCGGGCCTAGCACTGAACAGATCATAGCCCGGAAAAATCAGTTGCTTTACTGTTTTAGTTTTTTGATACGTCAGAGTTATCTATGAATAGTTCTGTGTAAAATCTTGTTGTGAGGAGACTCCTTAAATACAATCAGCTGAAAGTCCCTTTCAGTGTTGTGTTCCTGAAACCGGACTGATTTAAAACTCCTCGTGGGAAAAGTAAGGGACCTAAAATAGCATACACAGTGACTTACCGTGAGTTCAGTTTGTAAAACGGCCTATATTTAACAACATAAATCTGATAAGAATTTTTTTTTTTTGTTGCTATTTTCGTTCCAAGCAATTTGTTAGAACAATATATATCTACACGTTTCAGACTGGTATTTGAAACCGAAAAATTCTGCCTTATTGTGGTGAGGAATGAAGAGATAAACTAGAGAAATTTTAAGCGCAGGAGAAAACGGAGGGCAAAATAAATGAAATGATGTCTTTTGTTTTGTTTTATTTTGTTTTGTTTTGTTTTTTTTTTTAACTCGCGTTGCAAGTGTTGGTATTGCTTCACTGCTCGATATGGATTTAATATCATTCCACTTTAAAAATAAAAGTTACGTGTCAATATGAAGAAAATAAAAATGACAGTTTTTTTTCAGTGTTATTTTTATTTTTCGGGAATTAAAGAAAGTGAAAATTTAAAGGAAACAGAGCGCTAACATCTGCAGTTTTCGAGGTACAGTATTAACTCGCAGTTGTTTTTCTTAAGACTACGTCATGTTGAACTTAACTAAATCATTCTTTTGAATAAATGCCAGCTAATCTACAATAGATGTCTTGTTAAACGACTTTTAAGATCAACTCGATAAAACTACCAAAGCATGCAACAAAGAGACACAAAAAGATTAATCTAGTCGCTCTATCAAACAAGCAAAACACGTTTAATTTTAGCACAAAACCGCAAGTACGAAACGAGCCTATCAGCGCGGAAGAAAATAAAAACTGTATAATTGGTGCCCACGCGCTATATAACTGTTGATGGGTTTCCGGGACTCAGACCTGTCACTCAAGATTAACGCTTTCATGTTCTTTTCCTAGAATGCATGATCATTAAATGGCCGAGGTTGGGTAAGGGCAGAGATTGGAACCTTGGCAGATAGTGGCGTTATCTCGTGTGTACTTTTCCAACTTGGCCCACAGCAAACATTCGGCTACTCCTATTTCAGCAACTTTGAAGAGGCAGTTTAGTGGTGAAAATATTATTCCATAAGCCAGGTGGCATCAGAGGTCACACGTGAATACCAAATTTAGGCAGCCTAGTAGGGGTCTCTTCTTTACAAACAAAAAGCTGAACTGATCTATCTCCAGACACGCTGTCGACGTCAAAATATCTAAGCGCGGATAAAAGCCGTCAGATCCTGGAAAAACATAGTGATACGGAGACGTTGCAGCAGCGTTAACACTGACCTCCGCCGTAGAGATATCCTCCCCAAAAAAGACAAAGATAACGGAAAATAACAAACACTCGACCGCAATGGAGAGTAAAGAAATCAGACCTCGTGCCATCAAAAGGACAAACTCCAAAGTACTAACGCCTGAAGTTCTGGATCTTTGCGCCAAAGAAATTCAACAAGAGAACATGTTTAGGAAAAGGTACGAGCAAGCTGCGCTATATGTGTATGGAACAAGCCAGCGACATTGTGGATTAGAGAGCACAACTTTGGCAAGTCATCCTGGGAGCGTGTTTAAACTACCTTATCATTCTGACCCTTGCTTCACAAACTTTGGGTATTAGCATGGCCTTGAGTATGTGGGGGGCTATCATAATCTGAGCAAAGGTTGCCTTATCTTCTGAGACTCTTGTGTGCATCCCTTGTACAGACACTAAGATTTTTTAACTGTACCTCGAGGAACTAAACCTCTGTGACATTCAAGTGAGAGGGAAAAAATACTCTCAAAGTACAGCAAACAACTCAGCTTTGGCTGTTTATGATACCTGGCTTGATTCCGTGTGAGCTTAGAGGACTTCCAAATAGACATCAAAGATCAGATGGCTCAGGAAATTAGAGAACTTAACAACACGAACAGAGAGAACAAATTCATTAAGATATTCAAATTATTGTAAAATAACTACTGAGAAGCGTGTCGCGTGTACCAAAAAGATATAGATTCATTTTCGTCAGAGATTAAGTCATTTTTATTACAGAGTGATATTTAAGTGTAAATATAGACAAGGTCTGAGAATTTTATTTAAATTATAGTCTTGTAAATATCGTAAATTTTGAAGAGTCAACAGCTGAATAAAATCTTCTAGCATTACGTGACCTCGCTCGCTACGTACTGGTGTGTCCCGCCGTTTCCAAATTATAATAATAATACATCTGATTGCATAAACAACACGTCAGCGAAAGCTAAAAAAAGCTCCAGATACTCAACACAAAGGACTTGACCTTGCTCATTCGGAGTGTCCGCGTTCCTTTCTTTTGTCCTCTAAAGATCCCTATTTACATGCATCACTGAAATTCCAAGACGCACATTTTTGTGCCATTGTGCTGTTGTAATTCACTAGTTTTTTATCCGGATACGTACTTTCCTAAATTTTTAACTGTTATTCAGGAGATAGATATAATCGCTCTTATCCGGTGAGGTTATTGAAAACAGTTCACAGATTTGCCTCAGGGCACAAGTAAATAATATTGTTTTCCATAACGGAAGACAATGCTTTTTCGTTTTGGTTGAAGAAACAAAAACAAAAAATAAAATTCTTCGAATAAGTCAATGTTGCTACATCGTATCCAGCCAATCAGGCGATCAAGCAGGTACTATGCAGTTGTTAAAGCAAGCCGTTGGACTTCTGAGGTCTCTAGTGGTTGGTTTCCGTGGCACAAGTAGTGAAGATAGAAACTTAAGTTACAAAAGATCCTATTTCTGTAACATTATTTCCTGCTTGAAGAATTTGGCAAGGGTAAAATCGTTTCCTAATTGTAACTGCCTTAAAAGGAGAGGTGATTCAGCAGTGCCTTAATTAAGCTACAACCACGTAGATATTATTTAGTGCCATAGATCTATCAAGAATAACGTTTTATTTTGGTTTTTGAGAAGAAAACAAGTACGGGGAGTCTCTTCAGTTTATAATTGATCCAAGCATTTTGGCGAGTGATATATATGGCCCGTGCTGTGTGTGACAGTTGTCTTGTTCAACCATCAACCCTCGCGCACCTGGTACGTAGGCCTCAGTCTGTTCAAAATTTGAAAATTTCTGATGAAATTTAAAATTTTTTTTCCAGATCTATTTCTTTACATGAGGTCGAGACATTTTTTGACTTGTATCGTACATACCGCATATAACACGACTAGTTTACGAAGATTAAAAGTATTTGTTCCAGCCTTGACTGTTCTTTTATTAACTCATGTTTGAGTTTCCCGAGATTTTTAGTTACTTCAGGTGTTTTTCACCTCTCTTATATAATTTTCTTTAGACATATGTCTATCATCCACAATTTGCTGCTGCTTGATAAACCGCAGTTGTGAAATATCAAGAGTACACAAATAAAACATCCCTCTCACTAGGAAGTACTTCTAGCCCCTTGATCTTAATTTTGATCATAATCTTTGTTGCCAACATTGGTTGAAGAAAGGGGGAATGGGGAAGGGGGGGGGGAGAAAGAAACAAGCATAACATGAGTTTATGCCTTTTACATGTGTTTTTTTGCCATGCACGTGCTTCCACTAGCCTTGAAAATTAAAAAAAAGGCTTGTTATGTATGTTAAGCAAGTTATTCTAGCCCCTGATGCCACTGAGCTTGTTTGGGTATTCCTATAGAAGCCAGCACCATCCCTTTCCCAGGCCCAGCCAATGCAAAAATGGTCATCCTGAGCTCAACTTCTTTACAAAGAACCAATGAAATGACACCTGAGCTGCTTTCTTATCACAACGCATGCACAAGGCTAAATGATGATGTCACAATAATAATGACAATGAAGATAATGACAAAGTAAATCAATGGTAATTATGTTTATCTAGAGGAAGTGCCCCAATCAGTTTTTAGGTCCTCCCACCAGGAGATACAAACATGGTGGCGATGCAAGGATTTTCATATTTGCTTTACAAATGCAGTTCTACATAGTGACTCAATATATTAGAAGATAGGATTTAGAGAGAAATGAACATAAGAGAGTTACGTTCTCAGCAGCCTTCCCATCCATTGCAAAGGTTCCCCACTCCATGCTATGCAAAAAATGCATGACTCAGTAAATGGCATGGCTTCTTTAATCAATTTGGGATTGTTTGGCATCAACCCACTTAATAACACTGGTACTTAAATACAGTATTCAGCCTGTAACAGAGCAAAAACTAAACGAAACTACAGTGAACTACAACAAACTACAGCAACTTATACAAATATAAACCCTATATTTTACTTACATTATCAGAAAGATAACGAGGGTAATCATGGACTTATCACCATTTGGTTACCCTCGGGAGATACATAAAGGTGTTGTGCAAATAACACCTAGCTGTGCATATTTGTTTCTTCTTTTAAGCAGTTTTAAGTCAGGGTTTAAATTTGCACTATTTAGCAAGTGATAACCATGAATTTAAAACCTCTTCTCTTGTCAAGGTTGTGTAAGATTGAAGAATACCCATTATTAACTCGCAGTCATCTGAAATATGAGCATTCTCAGGTTCCAATGACTGTTTGTACACTCCATTAACAAAGGACTGGAAGAATCTGGCAGCCACTGACCAGTAGAGTAGAGGAAGCTCTGACTGACTTAAGCTCCAAACACTTTGATAGCCACAGAGAACATGACCTGCCATCTGTATAGCCTCATCATGTGAGTGCCCTTGTCGAACTCCAAGCAGAATCATGTACATCATACAGATAGCAACTTCAAACAACCTATATGAAACACTCATGTCTCCAAAATCAATGAAGCTGACTACTTCATATCCCTCCCCACAATGATTTGGCTCAACAAGTATGTTCTCATAATTAACATCACCATGGATTGCTTGTTTTGAGAAATTCTGGAGTTGTGGAAGAACATCATTTGTAAAATTGTTATAAATCAAACTTAAAATCTGTTGTTCTCTGTCACCTTGAGAAACAGTAAGAACATAGCTTTTGATGGTATGTATCTGAGACAAATCCCACTCTTTCTTGGCTAAAGAGCCAACACCTGGATGGCTAAATCCCTGGAAAAAAGAAAGCAAGTCCATATTTAATACATGCCCAGATATATGGAGAGCTCTACTGCTGCCAGTAAAATTCAGAGATGAAGGCAGCATTCAGAGAAAGATGACATGAAGTTTTCATCACCTTACCATTAAGGTTAAAATGCTGTTAGTACGACAATGTGTTTCTTTCCTGCCGTAAGTGCCTAGCTACAGAGAGGGGGGCTTGGGTAGGAGGATACTTTTTCACTTGTTTGGCTATCATAACTCAAGACAGAATTCAGAAATTGTTCATATCATTATAATTATAATACATTATAATTAGGAATAAATTATGTTCCAATTAAATCTATGCACCAATCAAATTCAAATAAATTTTTGATTGTAACAAAGCTACAATTATCTATAGTATTTCAGGACCCCCTTTGATGCCAGTGTCTATTACACTGAAAGGGTTGTCCCAGGGTTTCGCATACCATACCATATCAAAGAAGGATGAATAAGTACACAACATGCTTCAAGTGTAAATTCCAGTGGAAACTGTGATAAATTTGCTGCAATTTCAACATTTTGCAGGCCTTGTTGTTCACAATTTGTGTTCTGCTTGTTAACAATTCATTGTGCTGAAAATGTGTAATTTTTTTCGGGTCTTTATCTCAAAGCCAGAGGGGACAAAATGACCCCTAAATAGTTTTCTGATGAGATACTTTAAATTGTATTGCAGGATTGGTGCAATGTCATGGCCTGGCTCAAATCCTGTTATCCTGTATAAATATTATTTTTAGTATTCTTATGGTACTTTTACTCTATTATATAGTAGTTTTGTCATGGGTTTAGGTACCATGGACAAAATAAGCTAATTTTTTTCCAGATTTCCATTTGCAATCCTTGCATATCTTCTCGAATGTTCGATTACCCTCCTTTTCCATTAATTAATTATTATCATCATTTTAATCTACTCAGTTTAATACTAGATATTTTTCCATTAAAATTATCATTCGAGTAGTTTTATTCCTCATTACAACAGACTCAACAAAGCATACATATTCTTCACAGATTTAAAATCCGCCTTTCAAACTAATCTCCTTTTCAGATGAACTATTTCGATCCATCCCAAAGAGCGTATGGAAGCTAAGAGCCTTCTAACTTATAATTATGTAACTATTTAAACGCTTGAGTATTTGGTAAACGCCACATGGTCTTTTACGATGAATTAAATACCTGTAGAACTTTATTCATCTTGGCTGTATAGCGACCTAAAGAGAAGAAAACTTCAGCTGTGCAAGGTACATCCCTAATAAGCTTCCCTGGAACAAAGCTAAGAAGTCGAACGACATGAACTCGCTCGAGCTGTTTGTTTTCTTCGCCCTTCTCTGCATTTCCGCATTTTATTTCGCAGGTGACAGCATATTCGCCATTTAAAGCTTTAATCGGGGCAGGACTCTTAAATCCATTTTCTTTTAAGAACAACAAAGCTTCGTTCTGCCCTTGCACAGAGGAAATGTCTTGGGAATCCACGTGGTTTAGAATCTTTAACACGAATTCAGCTTCATTCTGTCGAAACCGCTCATGTGCATGATCTTTGGGTGGAAGCGTGCCTTTCAGGTAAAAATTTCGATCATCATAACTGTCAAATTCCTTGATAAGACTGGGATCTGATAATTTCAGGCCATATAGTGAACAAGCTAAATGAATTGCCTCATCTTTCTCGACTGCTGGCCGTATCAAGGTCAATTGTCCTTCGCCTAACTGAAGTTTGTCCGACATTTTGTAGCGCATGCGTGATCCACCAAATTTAAAAAGATGACGTCAAACGTGGCATTTTCCATGGGTCATGCAAAACCAGATTTCCAGTGGACAAAATCGCAACACCGACTTTGATCCACCAGCCGAACAAGGTCAAACCATCCCCACATTTCTGGAATGCAGAACTCGGTGGCTTTGCCAATATGATAAGCCGTGGCTGCAGATTTTCGCGTGACTAGCACTACATATTTAATTGGCCACAGGGGTTCACAGAGACCGAGGTCACACAAGATCCAACTCCGTTTGCCCATAGTTAGTAGAGGGGAACTAGTTCCCCTCTACTAACTATGGTTTGCCGGACAGAAAGAAAAGAGCCCGAAGGAATGACGTTAGGTAGAGGGAAGTTTCTATCGCGATGTCCGGTTTGTAAAGTGATCCATGAATCGGGATTGAACTGTTTTCCTGTTCTTAGCTGTGTTATTCAGTTTCCTTAACCCTGGACTGCTACACTCCACATCATCCTTTCGCGTTTTCTTTCGTGGCATGAATGTTCGCAAGGCTAGAACGAAAACACCAACGGTGTACAGCGAAGATGTAGTTCGGAGGGTCCTACTGAATGGTAACGTAAACTGCCACAGTAAAGAGTTCCGAAAGCTGATGCTTCGAGCGCTAGCCCTTCACCGCTCAGAGCGATAGTGGTAGTGACCCCAATCAAACCAGAAAAATATGCGTTATTGACCAAGCAAGAGGTTACAATGGTTGGAGATCTTGGCCAAGTTGTTTTTTGCGTTTTTATGGACCGAGATTAAGTCAAGGTCCATAAAAACGCAAAAAGAGAACAAGGCTAATTTCCAGCCATCTTGACCGTACAGGCAGGATTTATAACGTAGCAAAACAAATTCCATATGATAGGAATCAAGAATGACTTGTTAATTTCGAGAGCCGGAAAAGAAATTGAAAAGTGTTACTAGGTCAATAAACCCACGAGAGTCGTTTAATGTTTTCATTGTTCTTCGCTTTATCGCGACTCCATCGTCATCACTGTCAAAAAATTACGATCTTTGTAGGTCTACTCGACGCAATATTTTTCCTGCGCGGGATCCAGGTGGATCAAGGCGGGATCAAGGCGGGCAATCACGCTCAGTCAATAACGCATACTTTCTGTAATTCTAAACGGCTTTCCTTCTATTATACCGCACTACTTAAGCGCTAGACAACAAAAACAAGACCAAAAGTAAAAACTGAATGTCACAATTTCGAACCATAATGAACAGGGACATGTTTTACATTCTTATTTTATTTTAACTAGTTATAACATTTCCTACTATTCCATCAAATCTATCATGCATTAGACAAAATTCTGCAACGATTCTGTAGTTTTTAAAGTGGACTTCAAAAAAGCGAATGTGAGGCTGCCATATGCAATTCTAAATCTTATCTAATAAAAATATGTATATAACCTTCGACTTATTCCCTTCTGTAGAATTGAAAACTGAATTTTGGGCTTACTACTAATACACTAATACACATTTTCTTCTTTAAACGAAAGTTTTTTTCTTTTTCGAAAACGTTTAGCTCCGTATCAGGAATGGCTCTTTGCGTCACAAATAATTCTTTGTGGCCTAGTCTTTCGCTTTACTTTCATATTTTTTTTCTTTACTGCCTTTGTGAAACTCAGATGACCTTATCAAAAGACAAAAAAAAAAAAAAGGATAAAAATTGAGAAGATTGTTCACTGCCAACGAGCCCGCAAGCAAACAAGAGAACCAGAAACTAATACCATTGAAACGAGTCATCTTTTTCTTGACACAACCTGATTACCGAAATGCTCACGATTCTCTCAGATTTATTTTACTTAGTTTGGGCCTGTAAATAAAATTCTACCAACTTTAAGTTACGGAGCTGTACTTTGCACACACCAACAGCCAAACCGTGAATTTTTAACTCGTGTTCAAAATGGAGAGAAAGTGCCAAACTCACTTGATAGGTTAAATAGGCCTTTTGCAGTTAGAGATCACGTGCTTAGATACTGCATAGCAACGCCATACTGGAGAGCAAGCACTCCAGTGATATCAGACACAATAGAGATCACAGAGGTCTGCATTCAAACAAAGAATACAGCGGATAACAAGTTAAAGGGTATCCCAATTCGAGAAATCTTGTAAGTTTTAGTCAACAGCTTCCTTGGAGTGTATCAGCGAAAAACGAATTTTGGTGTGATTTTGCTGCTGATACACTCCGGGGAAGCTGTTGATTACTTCTTACTGGATTTCTCGAATTGGGATACCTTTTGACCTGTTATCCGCTGTATTCTTTGTTTGAATGCAGACCTCTGTGACCTCTACACTGTCTGAGATCACTGGAGTGCTTGCTCTCCAGTATGGCGTTGCTATGCGGTATCTTAGCACGTGATCTCTAACTGCAAAAGGCCTATTTGAAACCTTTGATATCCCCAGATGGGTTTAACACTTACCAAGAAAAAAATTCAAACTATTAATCTGAAAGCTATCATCAGTTCCAATGCATGGGAAATGTTTGTCTTTTCTTTCACTTTAATCCTCCCCACCTCCGTTATAATGTTGATTGAATACTTTTATCCGACAAAACTTTAAAATTTATCACTAGTCTCTATCACGAGTTCTACGCTTTAAGGGGTTGTGGTAAGTACAACTCCACTTTTATGATGTATTGTTTCCTATCGAGTACAAATAGAAAAATCGTACTTAGGAGGAAAAAATTACTCTCAATTTTCAGAATGCTCTCATACAACCCAGAAACAATAAAAAAATTCAATGATTTTATGTAAACATTATTCAGACCCTTCCCCATCACTCAATACCCCTATTTGATTGATGCATAAGATTCCTGCTCTCTAGAACCAATGAAGTCCTTTAAATATATTTCATGAATGCAGCCATGATTTAAGTCAAGGAGAAATCATGAAAAGATGCATGGATGTTAAAAAGCTACAAACTGACTAATCTACACATAATCGTTCCAATTTAAGACCAGATCTTATCTCTATTTATGAAATGAACGAGGTTTTGGCTGAGCAACTGTCTACCCACCCCTCACCTAACACAACCACAGTCAACTAATAACAAGTTAGGACTAGCATTGGGCTAGGGGAGGGGTGGGTGTACAATTGCTCAGATACTGACGTAAATCCGAGTTTTTCTATCTATCCCCCCTCCCACAGCATTTCTCTATAGGAGAAGCTGTCGTGAAACAACAGCGCAACATAAAAAAATGCACCCAAGAAAGACTAATAGGATATATGTAAACAATGTGTGTACACATATTTGACAGGTAAAATAAAAGAATACGAAAATAAGCTCATTTATATATGAGGTGAGATGCAAACTGTACCTAGACATACCTATTGTCTAATGATATCATCAAATGTTACAGTTGTACCTCGGATCCCTTTTTCGAACAAAGCTGTAAAATTTACAAAGTTTGAAAACAGGCTATAAAAAAGGCACCTGACTTTGACAGCAAGTCCGGACATATTGAAAAACATTGTGGTATGCGATCAAATCATTATTTTACACGGCTCTGACTCTTCTTCATTCTTTCAAGAGTTATGTTTTTCGAGATCTGTTGAGACACTGAGTGGCAACTACAAGTGACCGTCGACGCGAGGAAAACGCATAACGCAAAATCAAGTACGTCATTTTATTTATTTGTCTGTTTTTTTCATAAATTTTTTCTGATTTCCTTTACTGATTTACCACTGTATTTCGTGGGTTTTGTCAAAAAAGTCATCTTGACTAAAAAATAAGTATGCATTTTTGTCAAATCTAATCGAGGACATGTGTGACTGAACCACCTCCCGACTTCGGAAACCGTATTTAATACATGTATGTATCACCACGCGTCTGTAGCATTAACGCAGCCTCACCTATGGAATATGTGGCGAATTCATGTTCTTTTATTAGTGACTAATAGTAGTTGAACCACCACAAATTCATGATATAGATTTCCGCGCCTACATTTAAATCGATTTACCTTAAAAAAAAAAAACCAAAAGATCCTATGTTCTCTCTATCAAGCTGTGGTTCCAGAATCTTGCCTATTTTGACGCCTTTTAATTCTGTCTAATTCTACCTTGAGGGCAGCATTGTGTTTCCTTTCTTCATCAAAGTCAGTTATAAGTCCTTCTATTTCCCGGGTAAATTTTTCTTCCAATCTTTTGTGAGCATCGTTATGTTTCTTATCCATATTAGCTATCATCTCTCGGAGATCGCCGATCTCCTTTCGTAGCTTCTCCACCTCCCCAGGCGCTGTTGCAAAAGGCTCAACTTTCTGCACTAGTGGTACGGGCACTTCCTCTCTTAGAGATTTTCGTTTCTCTAGTACCTCCGTTTTGGACGACAGCAAAGGCGGTGGCTTTAAATATAAAAAAGAGAGTTGTTCATTTTGTCAAATCTTCTTGTAGGGGCCTTCTCTTGTGGTTTTAGGTTACTGCCTAACTTTAACCATTTTGAGCCTCAAACAACAAAAGCAACAACCACATAACAGAAACAAAAGTCTAACATCATTTTTACCGTTTTACCCGTACCTTTTCTTCTGCAACGGTTTGTTTCTTTTCCCGAGCTTCTCTAACTTCTTTTTTCCAAGCAGGTTCTCTTGGCGGTTCTTTGGGACGTTCTGGAGGCTGTTGTTTGTTAGCCTCCTGGGAAACAAAATCGTTCAAATTCTATTTAGTTTCTTGTGATGTGAAAAGTCTAGCCTCCGTGATTGCTTAATTGGTTTCGTTTCGCGACTTTACCCCTCCCCTCCCCCAAGGGGAATAAACATCACAACTTACAGCTATTTGCTCTTCCAGCAAGTCTCCACTTAAGCGAGCTGGGTCCGTTCGTCCTTCCTATGACAAAAGTACACTGAAGTTTAAAAGTCTGCATTAGATCTGTATCAAAACTCCTGGAATTTACATATAATAAACAAAATCCAAAGAGTGAAGAGGATGAAGTTCAGCAACATAAACAACACCGACGACATATTGTTGAAGCTACGCTCTTGCCAAATGTCCTGATAAATAAAAGCTGAGCCGGTAGCCATCCTCGGTAAATTCGCAACTAAAAGATCACAACATTTTTCTCAACCTTAACCAAAATTTATTGATAAACACTCGCCCTTTCTTATCATCGCTGCTGTTCATTGCACAAAGGGTTTTGTAGTTGAGATGATCAACAAGACAAGATTTAAAATCTACATTGGAAAAAAGCAAACTAGTTGGCTATTCAAGCTGGTTCAGAGCTTGAATTCATAACCTGCAGGTTACAAGTCCAACCACTTAGCCTTGCTATAGTACATATATTTCTATCTAACAAAAAACTGATCATCGTGTAATAACATTATTCCAAAAAAGAGATTTGCTAAACCTTGGATGGTGGCCTCTTTTGTGGATTCTTTGCTCTGTTGGCAGTCAGGTGATTTAATGTCTCTGTGGCTGGAATGTCATCTAGGGAACTTCCTGCTGCAATGAGGAAAAGAGTCATTTGGGAACAACCCAAATTCCATCAGGATCATGTACCAAACAGGATTCATGTGCAATTTATTATGCTGCCACTCTTGAAAACCTTTAATTAACTTTTTGACTTAGTATGGGACTGATTCCTCTTTGAAAACATCAAGCAGCCACTGAATAAACACAAGCAATATTTGGCTGCATGAAAGTACAAAAGAAGGTAAACTGGCATTACTACTCAATAAAGATTCAACTGTTTTTCATGTACACATAATGCAATGTTAAATTTGTGTACTCGGTAAAAGACACATAATGTGGGTTAATTCATCTCAAACAATATTATTGCCAAAACAATGAGATCACCTGTACTTTCCAATTGGATCTCAGTAGGCTTACTGATTCCCTCTTCCTGAGATGGTACCTTCTCTGCTGAAATGTCATCAACAATATCATCTGTTTCCTCATTCCTTTTTTTCTCCACAACACTGGTATTTCCAGTCTCTGCTTTCTTCTCTGGCTTCTTTGGCACACCTTTCACAGCAGGTTTCTTATGGATTGGTAAAGGTTTCTTGGGTGGTAAAACAGGCTTCTGGCCTGCAACTGGTGGCTTTGGCTTGGTTGGTGCTGGAGCAGGGGGCTCGCTGTTTGCATCCTTAACAGTTTTCTGGACATCTGGGATTACTTTAGCATCTGATTCCTCTTTAGGAGAGACTGGAGGGGAATGCTTCCTGGAAAGTTCTTGACAAAGTAAGGGAAAACATGATATTGGTCATGACTGTGCAATCCAAAAGTTACCAAAAAGTTAGACCAAAGTAGGGAAATCTATTTAGGTTTGAGTTGTAATTCATCACATGAAAGTAACAAAGGGCAATAACTGGGAATATAGTGTACTAAATTGATTGTCTAGATAACAAATCTGAATGCATTTGAGCAAAGAGAAACAGGTAAACTATTAAAAATGGAGAAGTGAACGAGCAAACAAATCTAATATTAAGAGCCCAAGGGTTGTGCAACATTTATTTTAATCCCTTATCTCCAAGCCTCCATGAGGCATTTCAGGACCAACACTGATAAACGAACAATCTTTAAAATGTATGTATCAAACTAGACGCATAGTTGCGTGAACTTGGGCTTTCAATATTGCACATCTGGAGTTATCTTTAGGGGACTGCCATCGTCAATGAGGTCAAGTAATTTTGTCATTGCCGGTCATGAATAAGTCTACTTGAATGTGTTTATTTTTGTCTGCTGGAGTGTAATGAATGTTGTTACGATACTAGAAAACAATCAGTCAGAGTAATATATTACCATATAGGAGTAGGTTCCTACAGATGCCAAAGGTTGAAATTCAAGGTCTTTTCAGTGACTTTGAAGGCCAAGTTTTAGAAAATTGAAGGACCTTTCATTTAATATTATTTCTCAGATTTTCCATGAAAGTACTGTAATTTTCAACTTTAAAATTGCTAAAGAAAAAGCATTGCAAAAATCAAGCTCTAGTCCTCAAATTCAAGTACTTTCAAGGCCTGGAATTTTTTATTTTTAAATTCAAGCATCTTCAACAACTTTTAAGGCTTTTAAGAACCCTGAGTAGTGATGTATTAATTTTGCCTTTCACTGCAAGGAGATGAGAATTCTTTATCTATTTTTGGTACTCAGTCACAGTTTGTTGCCAAATGTTCACCCAAGGGAAGTTGTCAGAAATCAGTAGAATGAAGCAATAATTATCACTGTTCAATAATTCATAATGGTTTTAAAAGAAAATCTCTGAATATTGAATATTGCTGATGGCCACAACAAGAGAAGCAGTGTTATTTACAGTTTTAGTATATTCAATAAGGAGCATTTGACTTTCATTAAATACCAAGAGGGAATAATACATATTTTGACCTTTTTGTGGGTTTAAAAATATGTCATACCAAAAACTGAAAACCACATCAAATCCCTGTGCATTCACTATTATTTCTTACAAGATTTTCGAGAATTGATTTGCTCTCAACTGAATCGGACAACATTTCTTCACTGTAATCACTTTTTGGATCTGAATTTACATCAGTTCAACAAACATTAACCGTTTTTGGGAAATCATTTGATAGTAAATACTTGTTTAAAGATGAATTTTCATATAACCTTTTGCCATACTGAACAATATTAGATAAGGTGTTTAAATCCCAATAACTACATTATTTTACTATGGAGTAGCCGAGTGAATAGACAGCCACGGCACAACTCACTTGGAACTTTCTGGTTTCACAGGCATCAGACTCTGAAAAAGGATACTATTTTGAACTTTACTAATTTTAACCCCCTTTCAACTCAAATATATCATAGTTATGTATACTCTGAACATAATGTTCTAAGCTATTCAGCGATGATACTTCAAGCAGCACAAAAGTAACTTAAGGATGAATTCTACCATAAATATCCCTTGCATGAGAATCGCATGTTTTGAAGCCCATGTTACCTTTACAATGGATGGCAACTGCAGGACACCCACCCCACTGTCAAGACAAAACTATTGAAACTTTGGATATAAGTGACTGAAAGGCTCTATCTAAGGAGTTACAGTACTGATATCCTTCTATGGCAGCTTCTTGATGAACAGTACCAGTGTAGCTCTCACTATATTAAAGTTCATAATCAGTCTCAAACACATTTAAAAGTGTGGGTAATTCTGTGAACTTGAATTCAACCGATTTCCAATATTCATCATTGACACAAGATCATTAACAGAATTGATTCCTCAATGTTTGTTATTGTACATCAAAGAGCATAAACTCATTGTAACACATTGTTGTCCTGAATTTTGTCCAAATACCAACTTATTAGGTTGGCTATATGGTGCCATTATTATTTTGCTAGGGTCAATGTACATTGGAGTAGGACCAAGGTTTTTCCCCAAATCTGAACTCAGTTGAAATTTACAATAGTTTGATGCATGTCTGACTCTTAGAAAGACACATGAGTCGATTACAAGAAAACATAATTTGATAAATACCGACTTGCTCTATGCTTCAATTTAATTATCCTTGATATACCCTCACTGAACAATTCAACAAATACTTCTTCTTATGTTGTGGAACTTTATTTAATCTCACCCTCTTTGTATTAAGCTTACAAATAATATTCTTTGCAACTCTTCTAAATCTTCACATAGTGACATAGCCAAGAGGACTTGGGTATGCTCATAAACAAATTCCTTCAGTTTTCTGCCCTTTCTTCTGAGACATTTCAGAGTAGCTCCTGGTATTCTACTGGATTCTCGATCACGTCTAAATACATGGTTGTGTTTACATGAAAACATAATATGATATAGCTTGTTTGATATAGCAGGTTTCGCTTGATATTCTTCAATAGTATCGTTCTTCAATTAATCTCTCGTAAAGTTCGCGGACCCACCTGTTCTTAAAATGCTCCACAAGTTTTTGTGTGGGTCTACCGCGAACGGTGTGTGACTTTGTATAGGTATTGGGCATAATAGCCATCGAATTTCTTTCGCGAACATCGAGCAAGGAATTGTCCACGAAGGCAGCCATGGCTTTAAGCCACGCGCTGTAGGGTTCCTTCTACGCATGTGCATATGCTTCACATATGCGCTGTAGTGGAACTGCCTTTTGTGACTGAATGCAAAAAAAAAATTAAGCCGAATTTATAACTCGGGTGTTTCCTTCAGAAAGCCCGAGTAATAACCCCAAAGTGGCTAGTAACAACAAAAAACTAGGACAAAATTTGTTATGATCAGTGTTACTTCCTCTACCCCTTTCAATAGGGACCTTGAGCAAACCACAAAAGCAACGGCAATGAGGATGTGGAAAAACAAAAGACCTAATTGGCAGAACAATAGCTCAGCATGTGTTATATAACTTAGTACATTTCTTAGCTGTCCTTTGCAAAACAACGACATGAAAACACCAAAAGTTGTGTCATCTGCAACCAAAACTGTGATGGCAAATTATTTAATTTCCATTTGGAACTCAACACTACTTTTATATGTTATGTTGAGGTTGAGGTGTGGCCCCGTATGAGGTGGTAAACACATGCCACCAATTTCAAAATTCTAATTAAAAGTAGAAATTCATTTTTTAATTGACATCTTCCTTGGTATTGATCGCCTTCCTGACCGCTTAAAGTCCCTATTGTTAGTTTGCAGCATAGGAGGTGCAAAGAGAACAATTAGATTGAAAGAGTAGGAGGGGCAGATGTACAAAGAGAACAATTACATTGAAAGGGTAGGAGGGGCAAAAAGATGCTGAGTTTCCATCTTTGTTACAGTATCCCAACTTGTAACATGCAAGAGTGCACAGCATACACTATAATACTTACTTGGTGATTTTTTCAGTTCATCTTTCACTGGCAAAACTGGCACACCTTTCTTGTGAGTTTGGGGTGGAGCAGGAGCCTGGCAATGACAAAATAACAATGTCACAGTTCACATTTACATGTACTCGTAGAACCTCCTTATAAACCTGTTTTGTTTTTGTTTCACACTGACACATAAGTACTGAGATCCCTAAAGTAGAATCTGCAAAGATTCCACCCACTAGCCTTCAGAATGATAGCTCACTCAATCTTGAGGAAGTGAAAACTAAGTAAATTGGAACTCTTGCTACTCAGCTTTTCATAGAAGTGTTCAACTTTCCTGTATTCTTATTCTCATGAGACAGAGTTTCACATTTTTTAATTGAGAGGAATATTTTAAAACTTGAAAAGCTAATAAATAGCTTTACTGAGTGCTCCGAGTCACCAAAAACATTTCATGACTAAATTAAATTTATAAACTTTGTGGAATTCCATGAATCCATATACACACCAAATCTAAGGTAATTTGTGGACTGAAGCCTTCATATTAATACTAGTCAAGCATTGTTGGGAAATCTTCCCTTCCATGCACAAACCCCACAAAAGGTGCTTACCTATTTTGAAAATAATTTTTTTTTTTAGCATGTATAGATGAAACAATTTTTTAGTGTAATAGAAAAACCCGAGCCCCATCTGGGGCTTGGATTTTTCTATTACACTAAAAATTTTTTTTTTTAATTAGAGAATTCCAAGATGAATGCACCCCACTCCTGTAAGTAACTTTTAAACCAGGTATAGTTTTCTCACTGTTTCCAAGGTTTTAACCAAGATTGCAAAAGGGGTGTAGGGTACTGTTGTCCCAAAAATTTTGTCAAAGACTATAATAATTCAGAGCACAATAAATTAAAAAATAAGTTGATAGGAAATCAAATAAACATTACCTTTGATGAAACTTCCCCTACACCTGCTGGCAGCAGTTCAACAAAGTTACAAGGAAAGACACCAACCATTCCATTTAGCTCTCCTTCCCACCAACCCTCTGTGTCAGGAATGTTTTGGTTTGTCACATTGACAATATCGCCTACTGTTAATTTGAGTTCATCAAGATTTTCAGGCTCATAATCAAACATGACTCTTGCACATTCATTTGGCTTCTTGGCTAAAAAAAAAAAAAAAATACAGAAGATTAGCACAAACACATGCACATGAACCAGATCTACCCTATGGTAAATGAAATAGTAGTTTTAAAACTACCAGGAACTCTTTTTTGCTGTATCATTGAGTAAATGACACAACACAACACTTGAGCTTTAATCCCTACATATGACTAGCATTCCAAAGCTGAGGTCTAAGCAGCACCCAGTGGCCCCTGGCGCCTTACTTTTGTTCTTGGGTAACTCAGGAATTTTGACAAGCTTGTAGAGCAAGTCAAAATACAAACAATGGGTAAAAATACTCAGCGACACTACACAACAAAATGTCTAATAAGAGATTTACTATCCAACATGCCAAATTGTTATTTCATTGTGGGTGAATTTCATGGATATTTCTGGATTACAAATAGTGTGTGATATTTGTACTTGTCTCCTGCCTTATTTGTACCATATCAAGCACAGTTAGATTATAGAACGGGTTAGCAATGTAAAAAGTTTACCTGGTTGAACAATTGGAGGAGCAGATGGGACAGGGGGTGCAGGCCTTGATTTAGCACCCTGTAATAGATCATATTGCTAGATTATATGATGAATACTGTTGTTTACTGTTGTTTATTGCTTACCTGTAGAACTCAAACCCCTGAAAGTTGCAATATGTACCGTCAAGTATCAACACTTAAACAAATGTCAAATTCTGAATTTTCCAATGGACAAAAATTGCAAAATCTGTGCTGACAACACACTGAATCCTTGTTTTAGGATTACTCTCTGCAACAGACTGAAGGCACACATTAAGTGATTCCAGTCTGTGCAAATGATGAGGAAAAACAATTGTGATGAAGTAACCTAAATTCCTCAAAAAAATAAAAATCTATTTATTTTCCCATCAGTTGAGTTACATTATTCTTAGACATCAGAGGGGTATATCACTTCAAACCAAGTAAATCTCTGAGCATTAGTATGCCCTTCATCATCCATAGGTCAAATATCATCACTTTCATAATGTTATTTTTGATACTCATACAAGTTCTGTGATGCAGTTCTGTAGTAGGAAACATAATACATGACCAAAGTTAATAAAAAAAAAGTCTTGAAAGGAAAATTCATAAAGCCATACCAAAGGTGCCTTTACAGCAGCAACAGTCTTGCTTGGTTCAGCAGATACATTTCTTTCTTCAAATTTATCTTTTTTCTCTTTCTTTTCATCAGGGTGGACTTTCTTGAGTTTCTTCTCAGCAAGAATGTTGGCGTTGATAAGGTTTCCAAACCCCATACCCCCTCCAGGCAACTGCTTAGCCTTCCCTGTGCTAGAATGCCTCTTATTGATACCTGTATCATCGTCTTCTACTGCTGCTGCTCCAGTTCGACCTTGACTGACAGGTGGCTCTTTTTCAGCTGAATTTAATGAAAATTCATGAGAATCAATAAAATTACCAAATAGTTTAAGAGGCAGTGTATCCTATGGAAATTGTCAGGTCCTCTGTCCAGTTCTTTTCAAAGGTAATGGCATCTGTTCAGCATTATTAAGGATGGCATGGTTTTGTACGCAAACAGTAATTTTTAATAATGCAGTAAATTTGATCAGCAAGTGTACTTGTACGAAACTCTAGGAGGACCTAAAGAGGTTTTTGTTTTGTCATGAGCATAAGACAAGGAAAAAATAAAGAGTCGTTATGAAGAATCAAACCTAAGAACTTCAGGTTCCTTGCTCTGAGGTAATACCACTGAGCCAAAGAGACCCTATGGTGAACTAAGCAATGAACAGGTTCATGCATGATACCCATTCTACAAACTGTCAGAATCAGCAAAATATAGCATGCTTCATGTGAGTAAATGGAATAAGAATAAATGGTAAAGTTTTAAACTCGGTAAACAAATGAAAAAGAGATGTTTTCTATTTATAATGATCCTGAAACGAAGAAATATCTTTGGGTTTTTTTTAAACACATTTCACCCAGGGTGTGTACAGTGGCTGGAGCTAGGCATTTTTCAGCTAATCAATGCAAAAGCTGGTAAATATTAAACTAATGCAGTTTTATGTGCGACAACTTAGCAATAACTCTCATATAATACAACAAGCTATTGTTAAGAGATCACATATATTACATCTAACACTTGTAAATTACTTTGTATCTGAGCTGGCTTGTCCTGGTTTGGAGTGACATCCTCTTCCACAAAAGGTTCGACAAAATTGGATGGAAAGACGCCAACTTTTCCATGCAATTTGCCTTTCCACCAGCCTTCTTCTACTTCTTCCATAAAATCCACAATATCTCCCATATGCAGTGTCAATTCATCAGCATCTTGAGCCTCATAATCAAAGGCTACCTTTGCCTTCTTTCCTACAGCTGGTAATTTCAGAAAATATTCATGAGACAAACTTTAAAAGGCATGATGCACAAAGGAAACCCAGGGACAAATAATCAAACCCAAGGAAAACAAAACAGTGGCTTTGGTTCAAAGAGAAAATTTTCTTGCCTAGCAAGAACTTTATCTTGGAATAAAAACCTTCATCTTCCTCTTGCCCAATCACTTGCCCCCATCCCCAGGTCTCAGAGGATAAGCACAATGTTGGAAAAACAAGCCTGGCTGCCCCTATTTTGACTGCTGGCAATTTAAACATCTTGAACAATATGACTCACTGCCAACCTGTGGTTTCATCACTTCATAGTAGTGCCACATCTAGTATCTGGGAGAGACAAGTTCAAATCCCATTGAAACTTGAGTTATTTTTCAGGCTTTTTTCTGCAATCGCTAAAATTGCAGCTCACCTGCAAGGATTATGGCTTTAATTGATTTTAAATCAGAAAGTCATATGAAATTTGTTTCACCACAAATTGTATCTTGAACAAATAAAAGCCAAATCTTATCAGAACTATCTCATGTTTTTTCCTAACAAAATTGGTAACCGATTACAGAAGATACCAAGTTATGGTGGGTTCATCACAGGCACATTCCCTTTCCATTCATGACACTGTTCTGTTCTCTTGCTTAAAATTTCAATGTTGCCTCTGATTTATTAATCTCTTTGTTAATTTAATAGATTTTGCTTTGAAAGGGTTGACCATTAAATGTAAATGCCAAATGAACATTAAATATTTGCTTTCGACAGCGACCAGAAAAACTTATAATTTGAAAGCAAACAACAAAAAGGGAAGAGTTTCATACAGAATACACGAACGCGTTCTACAATATTCATGCATGTCAGCCAGAGTGGAAAATAAAAAGTACATATTAAAGAGTATACCAGTTAGGTTCAACTGGAGAGCGCCCTTCTATTTTCACAAATGATGTAAAGTTTCAAGAGGGAAAAATAAATCGAAACTGTAGTATTTCGTAAAGTATTTCACAAACAGGAAGCATTTGAGATTTTATTATAAGAAGGTTCACATGCAAATTAACTCAGCTGTTAATTCCGTATAAAATAGTTCTCATTAACATTGAAAACCACCCGAGTTATTGAAAGTAATCTCAACAAAATTCTGCGAGAAAGTTTTGTCAACTTCAAACGTAATTTGTAGTCAAATGCAAATGAGGAATTATAACTAAATGAAATCGATATTTAAGACCTATGCGAAACAGCTCGTCGGTTAATAATTCAGACAAGCCTAATTTTTGCTTTTTTCTTATCAAAGAAAGTCGATCATCGATAAGAAAACGTTCTCTCACTGCTGATTCATGTTTCATCTGACCTGTTTTAGAATTAGAGCTCGGAAGTGGTGAAGCGCTAGGTACTTCCTCGCCAGGCGTGCTGAACTCCTCGACGAAATTATCTGGAAACATTCCCTTCTTTCCATTCAATTCTCCTTCACACCAACCAACGTCCACATCAGTTATATTAGTAATGATGTCTCCAACTTCCAAGACCAGTTCATCGTCCTGTTCGGGCTTGTAGCTAAAAGTAACTCGTGCTTTTCGACCTTCAGACAAATGAGACCATATTTAGTCTCCAACAACAACAAAAAGATAGAGCGAGTTGCAAGATCGCAAGAAAAGTGCTACTTACTCATGGTGATTCTAAAATAAAAGAACAGCCAAAATATTTTGAAATACTAGCAAAAATGCACTCTACATTTGGAGAATTATTGAAATGATTTCTGTTTTCGCTTGAAGGAACTTTACCCGGTATGGTAAACTTAGGGGAGTTCTCGCGCAAGATAGCATCGAAGAGTATGATGGGTATCTTTAATTGGTGCTTAGTATCCGCGCGTTTCGCCTATTTTACCATGGAAACATGGAAGAAGAACGCTGATAAAAATCAGTGTTTGTATTATTTGGGGAAAGTTTAAATCCATTTTATCGGAAAATCTGCATAGCTTCCGCGTGCCTTCCCATGTTTCAACGCAGGCTCAGCGAGTCTCACCCCCTTCAGGTGGAAGCTCTACAGCTGAAATCGATTTTGATTGAAATGAATCTTGGGTAGAATCAGGAGCATAAAGTAATGGATAAGAACCCATTTGAAGTTTCGCTAATTTTCTCTTTATGTCTATTTTCAAGGTCAATATTTCTGGATATGTCTACGAACTTCTTATTTTCTGAATTTATTTTCGTAGAACGAGATGACTTAGAGGTGTTGTTAGGTAGACCGTTTCGGGTCGAATCTGCTCTGAAGAAAAGTGTCAATTTGATCACTGAAGAAGCTTGGTCTAAAAAGAATTAATTTCATGGCCAAAAGCCGGCTGCAAGAAACTTCGCGTGAAAAAAAAAAAAAAACACTAAATTTTTGGGGAAACATGATTGCAAGAGTACCCCACCAAAACGCAAAAATCGATTGGTTTTTCCCTTCATGAAACCATGTCGGCGAGGCATGGAGACACTTGAAGACTGATCAATCAGTTATTTCTTGTAAGTGACGTCTTTAATTTGTTCTAAACCTTTTTTTTACTCCTTTTTACAAATGTCTCTCGAAAACTGCTCAATTTCATCTTTCTTAAAATAACTCTTCTTAAGGTCTCTGAAGAGTTCATGAGATTTGCTCGGCTTGCTAACTAGTGCCTCAATTTCACTTTTGTATAGGAGATCAGAGGTTCCCACCGAGAATAACTCGAAACCAGTTCTTTTGAGGGAGCCGGCCAACTTCTTTGTGAATTCAATTCCAAGTGAACTAAAACCGTCTGTCACATCCACGAGAACTTTCTTTACACCTGCAAAGCAATAACAATAGAAAGGTTTGGAAGACAATAATAATGATAATACAAACTGTATACTTATTACTTGAATTAGGTTCTGGCGCTGAGAGCTACAGTCAACCAATCCACCATGCACTACTTCCCTACGCTCGGTGAATTGCTGTTAACTATCACACATCAAGACTGTAGTTTTCACAATGGTTTACACAGCCCAGGGTTTACAAACCCCGCGACGTCCTTCGTATACCTTTTGAAGAGGACCTTGCTCCTCGCTTCTTCTTAAAGATTTTATACTGGACATTTTCAAGTGCGGAATCCAGTCTAGAGAACGACGCTTCATATGCGGCTCTGTCAATGGATTTCAAAACGGACTCTGTTGAAACTTCATCGTCGAATCTCCTCAATACTCTTACGTATTGGCTGTACGTTAAGATAGCTACGTTGGTCTTTTCCTTTGAAATATCAAAGTGCTTTACAAGATCTTTTGCGAATCTCTTGGTCTTTCCAAACACTTCTTCTGGTACACTTCCAGAGCTATCAAGCAGAATAACCATGTCTAGTTTTTCGTGGCATTTAAATTCTGCCCCTGTGGAAGAAAAGTGTCGTTATATTCTCTTTTAGTTGTCAGATGGTTAAAGTCTTAGAACAAAGCTAAGTTGGTACTGTAAACTGATTCCAGTCTCTACAGAGGTGTGGCTCCACCTCATAAAGAGTGGATCCTGAGAATGCGGAGATTACCGGGCCCCCTTCCCCACTAGTTTCGCTCCCTGCACCTTTTAACAGCAGTGACAGCTCCCCAATCTGCAACAACCACCCGTATTATGCGGAACTGGTGCTATAGGAGGGCTTTACAACCGTCGCAGCAGTAATGTACAAATACTGACGTCTTTGCCAAGAATATGAGTGCTGAAGACAAGAAAACAACAGTTGTCCTCTCTGCTTGAGTTCTATGACTCTGCGCTTGGGCTAGACACACCATAGGTTGGTACCGTTAAAGAAGCGTGTCAGATGACTAACTTGCGTCAAATAAGGAAAACAAGCAAAACGTTAAATAAACCTCCACGTTCTACCACTTGTTCAATTTCATGAATGGCCTCACGGCTAAAACTACAAACAAAACTGCTCGAAACTTTCCGTCAGTGTTAGACTAGCAAGCACAAGGGTGTGGCTGAAAATGGGGGGTCTTCGGGTACACGGCATTATTTTTGGGGGTCTATGTTGTTATACTTTTAGTGACTCACTTGCCATGAAGAAAAACCAGCCAAAAATTACAACCTGTAGCAACATCTGAAGAAGAAGGATATGAATTCATTATGGTGCAAGATTCAAGACCACTGAATATTATTTTCGGTCTTCGCCTAAAATTTTATTTTGGAGCAAATATGAAGAGACAACCAACCAAAACACTGCCCAGGAAGTGGTTCCATTACGTCTGAGGTGCTGAGTTGCTATGACTACAATGCTATGACTACAATAGCAATGATACTTATACTGAATATATGATGTCGTCCTTTTTTTTTTATTATTCCTGCCTAACGATCAAGAATTTTCTTATTACATTGTTTGAAAGGCAAGTAGAAAAGGCTTATCCAAGATTTTAAAAAGTTAAGCAAAATGCGAAGTCATATATTTTGTTTGGTTTTCCTTTGTGTAAGGAAAACAGTTCCAGGGAGATGAAAAGGACCTGCAAAACTGTCTGCATAGTTGTAAAAACCAAGTCTAAAATTGACACCCTCTCCAATTTTCTCTTGTTTGAGGATCTCGATGCGGTAATAGCATTTACGGCTAACGGTTGATATCATTCCATTTTTTTCACCATAATTTTTTTTCCCACGAGTTAACTATTTTTATGACTAACGGTTAAAATCTGTCAAGTTTTACGCCCAACGACCAAACGGTTAGGCCGTTTCAGGGCCAACGGTTAAACCCATTAGGACCCTCTTGGTTAGTCCAATCACAGTGTTTCAAGACCTCTTTAAGATATCCCCTGAGCGACGGTTTTGAGTATCTAAATATTCTAAATAAGTATTCGGGTTATCCAGGAGGTCTAAACAAGAAATGTGTTCTGTTTCTCAAAATCAAAAACTCGCTGCGTAGGAAAAAAATATCCTGAAAGTTCGATGTTCTATTTTCGGTAAAACTTGAAACTTAAAACTGAGAGCAGGTGATTTGAAGCTGTTGATATGATCAAATTACTATTTTTTTTCCCATTGTTTCATTTTCTTTTTTTCAACGACACAAGTAGAAGCGAAAGTAAGTTTAGGAAAAGGCCATAAAAAGAAGCTATCACTGCCCCATTTAACCTGTCAAGTAAAATAATTAGTCTTGAAAATGAGAAACATTAAATTGTTGCGATTTAAATTTGTTTTAACCTTGAATAAGTTGCCCTGCAAAGTTTCGAAAATCACGAAGAGTCCTGAAACAAGAGAAAGCCAATTTTAAACTGACAACCTGATCCCCCATAGGGAGGAAATTTTGACAACATTAAAAATGTTACTAAGTCCCAGTTACCTGACATTTCCTTCATAACTAATTTTGTCAGTATACACCTTGTCTGTTGACATGTTTAACTATCAACGTTAACTTTTCTTTTAGAAATTCGCGGTTGATTAAATCCCTCGTGAAATTTTTTAGGTTCATTATTCTGGGAAGAAGGTTACAACTAGGTGAAAAATCAGTTAAGTTTGTAATTTACCGTTATCGATTGTGTTGTTGCCTGCACTCGGTCGAATCCTTAGACGAACAATGCCGCCTCACGCGACGGCAGAGTGTGTTAAAAGTGGCATATGGTTGAAATATTAATTCCAAACACATCTTTTATGCATGAAGAGGTGGTAAGGTAGAAGAGTAATTTTCGTCTTTTTCAGGGTGACTCATAGGTACCAGTCGACGTGCCATTGTTGTAATAGTTTAGGTTGGACAACATGCCCTGCTATCCGTTCCGTGTTTTAGGATTTGGGGTCATTTTCCGCCGTTCCGTGTTTTAGGATTTGGGGTTATTTTCCGCCGTTCCGTGTTTTAGGATTTGGGGTCATTTTCCGCCATTCCGCCATTCCGCCATTCCGCCGTTCCGGCTTTTAGGGTCGCCCGACCGTTGTTTTATAGTGAATGTACCAGATTTACCGTTTGCCTCACCTAGAGTAATGTATTGCTGACTATCTACATAAATCATCGATAAATAAACGTTGAATTACTTTACCTGTGGTGCATAGTCGTCCTTTTACCTCAAAAATGTTTTTTTTTAGCGATTTTGAATAAGTCTGATTTCGTCGTTAATGTAATGCATTAAAGAAAGACAAGAGTGGAAGCCTTGTTTTGAAAGGGTTCAAGCGCCCAAGCTATTTTCACCCCGAAAATCGCATCGCTCCGCTTTCAAACTTTGCAGCATTAAGGTCAAAAGATGCACGATTCTCCTCGTACTTTCCAATCGAAAATCCATCCAAACGGACCGGATTTAGCCCTCGAAGAAAATCAAAATCCCACAATATTTTAGCGTCTGGAATACGTAGCAAGATTCTCATGTGCCAGCCAGAAACCGTCACGTTGATTGCCCTTTTCTGATTGGACGACGATAAACGATGACCAATTCAAAATATCTAACGAGGGTGGGGAACCATTGGCGTTTAGTGACCCTTCAACTGTTTACCCACCAGACTCGGGTCGTGTGTCTCAACGCTCACCGGAAGCAACTTACATTTTCGCCCACTGTTCGCATCTCCTTCATCAGGTCACCCGGCAACTTAAACAGCACCTGTGAATTAAAAAATTGTATTGGTAAGCGCCGGAAGAAAATATGAGTCTCTGTTTCTTTCATTTCATCTGGAAGAGGCCGAGCCAGGCTTTTGATGAAAGCATAGGAAATATCGCTGCACTTTCCCATGCACACTTCTCGCAGAGAGGAGACGAATAGCTAGGCCTTGTCACGGTTTTCGGCGCTATCTTTACGGGCAGGCAAAGCGGTCACAAATTACAGTGTTTGTATGGGAATCCCATGGCAAATAACTTTTCCAAAAATCGAATTTTACGCAATTTATGAATCGCAATGTTAAAACACTAAGCAGAAGATGGTATTCACCAAGTTTGAACAATGCAGGTTGGATATACGACGCTCAATTAATTTTTCTAATTTTCCATTCATTTGTCTGTAAATTTTTTCCGCGCCGCCCCTTCTACCCTGAGAAAATTTCGGTCTGTGCATTCATAGTCTTTTAACCGATCAGCCGGGATTGGAATATTTGAATACTAAACAATCTGTAAGTTGCTTCCGGTGATCGTTAAGACACACGACCCGAGTCTGGTGGGTAAACAGTTGAAGGGTCACTAAACGCCAATGGTTCCCCACCCTCGTTAGATATTTTGAATTGGTCATCGTTTAACGTTGTCCAATCAGAAAAGGGCAATCAACGTGACGGTTTCTGGCTGGCACATGAGAATCTTACTACGCATTCCAGACGCTAAAATACTGAGGGATTTTGATTTTCTTCGAGGGCTAACTCCGGTCCGTTTGGATGGATTTTCGATTGGAAAGTACGAGGAGAATCGTGCATCTTTTGACCTTAATGCTGCAAAGTTTGAAAGGGGAGCGATGCGATTTTCGGAGTGAAAATCGCTCGGGCGCTTGAACCCTTTCAAAACAAGGCTTCCACCCTTGTCTTTCTTTGATGCATTACATTAACGACGAAATCAGACTTATTCAAAATCGCTAAAAAAAAACATTTTTGAGGRAAAAGGACGACTATGCACCACAGGTAAAGTAATTCAACGTTTATTTATCTATGATTTATGTACATAGTCAGCAATATATCACTCTAGGTGAGGCAAACGGTAAATCTGGTACATTCACTATAAAACAACGGTCGGCTACACAAACAGATTGTATGGGCGCCCTGTGAAGAAACCACGACGGCGACGTACGACAACGAGGACGTGGAAAAACAAGAGATCTAATTGGAAGAACAACAGCTCAGCACGTGCGTTTTGAAACTTTGTACATTTCTTAGCCGTCCTATGCAAAACAACAACGTGAAATCGCCAAGATTTGCGTCGTCTGCGAACCTAAACCGCGACGCAAATTATTTTAATTTCCATTTGGAACTCAACGGCTACTTTATACGTCATGCTGAAGTTGAGCTGTGGCGCTGTGTGAGACAGTAAGCTCCTGCAGCCATTTCTTAAATTCTAACTAAGAATAGAAATTCATCTTTTAATCGAATTCTTCCTTGGCGTCGCCGTCGTGGTTTCTTAAGGTCCTTACTACCTTCACGGGGCGGGTACCCTGCTGGCTGAGGCGTTTATTTGTTAACTTCCCCTACGGTCCACGTAAAAATAAAGTCCTCTGCGCTCGGCCTGTTAATTCTTCTTCGAGCATGCGCGGCCTGTTGCTTAGAAACAATTTAGTTCCCGGTAGTACTCGGCCAACTTTCCAGACGCCATAACCGTGATTGTGAGCTCACACTTGGTCTTGCTATATAGCTAAATAGGATGCGTGCGCATAAAAACGTGTTTAAAACAGGTTCTGACCGGTTTTGCAAATCAGATTATCTACAAACTTGGATAATTCCCAAGCGCATGCTCAAGAGGATTTAACAGGCCGAGCGCAGAGGACTTTATTTTTACGTGGACCGTAGGGGAAGTTAGCAAATAAACGCCTCTGCCAGCGGAGTACGGGGCGCGGGCGGGTGTCCTCGTCCGCGAAAAAATCTTACTACTCGAGATCTTTTTAACCAAAGCGCTACTAACATAGGATACAAAAAGGGCATAAACTGCAGAGCCTGATAAAATTTGGTAGGAAGCTACAGGGCTTAATAAAAATTGGTAGGTTTTTTTTTAAAGTGGGTCTCATCAAAGAAGGAAGCCGGTGAACCGAAGATAACTAAGAAGCACTCTTTTGAGGCCGTCGGGCATCAAAATCATGCATTAATGAAAACGCACTGTTCGGTGGTACACAGCAAGAATCTGTTTCAGCATTTTTCCGCCTGTATCTTGATTGGTTATTGTTTTGATCAGATACGAGTGGTTCCTGCCGAGAACAGACAACCACTACAATGTAACCCGGACTGGAATTATGTCATCTAGTGCCCCCAAGAGGCTAACGCAGGCAATTCTATCGTTTGGACGCTCTGGACAGCTACGCGTCCTGAGGAACTACTCGGCACCATCAGAAAAGGAATCATGGAAACAATACCTGCTTCCCAAACCTCATACCGATAGATTGAAGTTTTACAACAGTGTTGTTAAACATTTAACTCCCAAGATCTGATATCGATTATGAATTCTCCCCTCTAGCAGCTACACATTTCCTTGTAAAATGGTTAAGAGAATTTGGTGTTTAATCAAGGACATCTACCTGTTAACTTTGAGTATTCTCATCACCTGTTTGCTGGATCAGGTATGGATATTATAGGGAGAAGTTACAGGTTAATCACTTCTGGGAGTTAAGCAGATTTATGAATCTTCTTTTAGTAGTAGGCAAGGCGGATTCAAACGGTATCTCCTTGAACGACAGCAGATGCACTGGCAGTTAAACACAAAACTGAGTAAATGGTCTGTCAGATAGCTAGGGAAAAGAATCTTTTGAGAAACTAGAAGTGGGGACTATGTCAAAATATCACAAAGTTAATTGCAGGTGTGGATGGTTGCAAGAGTAGCAAAGACGTTGTCAAGTGTGGGTCCTGCTTGGCCACTGTATGTGACACCTTGAAGTCCGCAGCAGATTTGTTATCATTCATAATAGACTTCTTGAAAAGACGAATAAACCCCCTGCGGGTAACGAGCTGATATATTTTCAGGAAACTCAAGAACGAGTTGACAACAACTGAAATTCAAAGAGGAACGCTTACAACAGAGGGCACACTTGCTTCTCACCTTAAGAGAGCCCGATAACTCTAAAGACTTGGAAACATGGAACATTTGAATTGTAGAACTTAAACATTTTCGAGCATCACGTTTAATACATAATTACAACCATTGATTATTTCATTACTTTAAATCGTGTCTGAACATTACAAGACAAAGCTAAAAAAGACAAGATCGTCAAAAAGGTAATAAATTGAAACCACTGCTTCTACTTTTTTCTTTTTTGCTTTTTTTTTTTTTTCATGATCCCCCTTAGAGCTGATCCCCTTTCGCTGTTCGCTTGAAAACCATGTGATCCCTCCTGGGACAAATAATGACTGGTCCCTTCCTGGCTGATTCATAATCTACGTTTCGGGGAGCCTCTTTAAAATCGGTTGTGAGTAAGAATTTTTTTGTTTTTTGAAAAAGTTTATTACAGTGCTCATATAAAAAATGCTCTCGGCAATGTCTGTCTCTAGTCAGAGAGCGCTGAGTCTCGCGCACGTAGGAATAAATAAAATCAACAACACCCACGCCCGAGGCTTATGCGTCACTTCTTTGTTCGACCCACATTTTGGCGTCATCTGCAAATAGGAATCTATTTGTTAAACAAATGAGTCTATTTCAGGTTTAAGGACGAACCCTTTGCCATTCGACCACGTCTTTGTAAAAGCGAGAGAGATTGTTCCGACTTTCTTGAGTTCAAACAATTGGGAACGATCGCGGCTTTTTCCCGAGAACACTCTACATCGGTGGAAACGATGTACTTCTGTTTTTGACTCAGTCTCGCAGTCTCCCCTCTAATTATAGAGAACTCCATCTCTATGAACCGGGTGACTTTTTCTGGAAGATCTAAAGGGAGTTCTTGAACTTGATGGCCTTTAGACGAAAGACCAAACCATAGTTGGTTGCTACTATCAGATTCCTTTGGAGATAGTCGAGGAGAAATATCTTTTGGTGACGATGTTAAAAAGCCCTTTTGCTCCAACTGCATCGAATTTGCTGTTCCATTTAAATTAAGCTCTGTTGGTAATTTACGACAATTTTGGGAATCTTTCGACGGTTTGTTATTTACACATGTTTCGGCAATAGAATCGCTTTCGAACTTTACGAAGTCCTGGGAATTTCGAAGTCTCGGGGATCGGCGCAGCTTACATCGTTTGGTGCTTTCATCGTAGTGATTTAGGCTTTCCTCAGTGTTTTCTTTCCGGTCTATTATCACAGGCTTTCCTAAATTTGTCATCGAAGTGTCCAGCGACTTTCTTGCCTCCAACGACTTTCTTGCCTCCAACGACTTGGCATTAAATATTTCCCTTTCACAGGCTCCTGGAGATTCTGGCAAAGCACGGTACTTACGTCTTCCTGTTGAATTTGTATCCTGGCCCTTAATCATCGAGAACTCCTTTTCTATAAATTTGGTGACTTTCTCCTCGACATCAAGTTCCGGTTTTGGACTAGACGGTGGATGAAATAATTTCAACTTTCTGTTTTGCCCGTGTAAATCGGTGTAATCACGAGCTTGTGGAAAACGTGCGTCGCGAGAGCGCTCTGTAGAATTTTCTAAACAGGAAATTTCTTCCGTAGAAATTTTTTTTACCATTTCTTCATAGTTACATGGCCTTGGAGGTGTAGATTTATTCCTTAAGTTTGCGTTTCCTCCAAGATTGACTTCTCTTCTTCTTGTGTTGACCATGGCTGCTTTATCCCAAGTCGAGAGGTCTTCCAGACCCATGCCGCCAAAATCTCCTCTTTCAACCTTCTTTCGTGCTTGCTGCGAACTACGTTTTTGCTCTCTGGATGCTGGATTGATAATGGGCAGTCTATTCACGTCTTCAGTTTCTCTGTTTCCGTCTGTTAAGAAATAATCTCCCGAAAGTAAAGTGTCTCCTTTCCTTAGATCTCTGACGACTGCTTGATGATTCATTTTCCCGTCGTCAAGGCCAACCTTTCCGATGAGATCGTGGCTATCTTCTCCATCAACGTTTCGCTTTCGAAAATGCGATCCCTGTCTAGGAAAGGAAACATGAAGTTCATCCAACGACAGCAATGATGAATTCATACTCTATTTTCGCTAACAGCGCTTCAAACAAACTCAAAAAGCTCTGTCTTGGTTGAGGATCAGCGAAGAATCTGAGAAGATCTCGTACAACGTAGCATTATCACCGCGATGACTGCTGTTTTTATCACAGACAAATGCTGCGCAGATTAAAAAGCTTGCTGTGGTGACTGGATTACCCAGGAACAGGAACTGTTAAATTTGCATATGGAAGTTGTTCAGCCTGTTTGAAACACCTGTCCGGATCACTGAGAGTCAACATGTCTGAGCCTTGTTTAAAGGCCCCTCAAAACTTTGTTACCAATTCGACTCAGTGTTCCGATGTTTCTTTAAATAAACTTTTTCGAGGGGATTTTATAAATTGCTCAAAAGAAAAGCAATAAATAAAGAAGCTAGCGGAACGAAATCGTTGTTGTTTGCTAACACAGAAAACGTTACATAACAAATGAACATGTGTAAATTAGGTACCGACTCAAGCCGAAAACTTTTTCCCTTAATAAAATATATTTGTCCAGACGCTGAAACACTCTGCAGTTTTATCCTAGTTTACCTAAATTATTTTCTACTTGACAGTCATGATAAGTAATTAAAAGAAAAATAAAAAAATACTTGTGATGTATACTCAAAGCGTATCTTGGCACAGAAGCAAAGTTTTTTCCACTCAATCTGCTCAGAAAATATTCTGTAACTTAAAAAAAGCGATGATTGTGGTTACATAACCTAAAATTATTCACCTATAAAGAAAGGAAAACCTCCCCATAAACTATTCACTCCACTAAGAAACAAATCATCAATTTGTTCCATTTCGCGTGCGTGGTTATTTCATACATGCAGTACGTTATCTGCAGTTTTACAGCCGTCACAGGGAGGAAAATTCTATTTTTGGCACCAGTTTGATAGGAAACTGAAAAGCGAACTTTAAATTTCATATAAATGAGTTTGACCTTAGAGTACACAGAGATCACGTTGCCATGTTATAATTACACACTGCGGCTGACTTTTCAATTTGTCTGTGAATTTGAATTACAAATTCAAATTCACAGACAAATGTCGGGGTGAGAGGAGCGGAAGGGGGAGGGGAGGACTGGGGGCGGAATACAAGAAAACGCACCGGAAGGATACCAAATTTACGATTAGTGGAGCCACACTGTCAATNGAAAAGCTAGGAGAAGTGCATTTTGGCGCATTTTGAGAGATGAGTGTGCCACTGATCATAGAACTTTTACATAATTAACTGGAACATCCTTTTTCTTTTTAGTTTTTGGCGCTGCCAGCTGCCACATCTCAGCCAGCCCACGCTGCCGCTTTTCCGCCAATTTGCACGTGTAAACGTTCGAACGTGCAAGCGACGTCAGCAACCAGATTCAAGCGATGGTGTAGTCTGAATTTCAGCCGTCTCTTCCCTTTACCCCTGAAATTCAGACTAGCGACGGTGTGGCGAAATTCTTTACGAAACTTTATTTAAAATTTATTCAGTCAAAAACATTTGTGGACACTTGGCTCTTTAAGGGAAACTTTATTTATTTCGGAAAATATTTACCCAAGGGGAAGTAGGCGTCGCAAATGAAAAAGTTGCCTTCGGATGCAAAACAAAGTTTTTTTTTATTATTATTATTTGGATCTGAGTAGCCGGCGATTTTCGCCGGTTGTCGGGGCTTACGGAGATCTCTGTAAATGAAACAAAACATGCACATAAACGTTGGCCATATGGAACTCTCCCGAGTTAATTTTAGCTGAAATTCTATGCAGTCACGCAGTACAAAACTTATTTTAGGCATCGTCCCTACTGACACATGGGCCATAAATTTATATTTGGTCTTAGTGATATTCTAGCACCGTTCTCGTCTTTCCGGCGTCGGCACTCGTTCCACCAGAGTACCCACAGCCCCTTCTTTTACTCCCTGTGATTACCAGCTGCAGAAGGTTGTCGTATTTTGATGAAAACCAAAAAGCGGTTTTCAAACTCAATAAAATTACAGGAATTCACATTGTTACACTCTTCTTCGCTTTTATTTGAAAACATCCAGGTCATATATCTAAATTTCCTCAAAATAACCCTCGTAATTTATATTAAAATTTCACTTCGTTTTTCAAAGGTAAAATACAAATCGACGTATTTAAAAAAGTATTTTCTTGAGTTCGTTTCTGAATGAAATTAAACTAAAAAAATAAATTCGTGTCAAAGGACGAACGAACAGCAGACTTTAAAAGGCTGTCAATAAATATTTTAACACGCGGAAAAATCCGTTACTCTATCACCAGAAGGTTTTGGCGGGAATATCGAATTTGGTATAATGTGTAATAAACCTTACATCTCTCAAAGATGGAGTAAATTGGTAAGACTCGATATGTTTTGCATGACGCTTGGTCTACCTTGCAGCCGTTGTTCAGTTTTGTAACGCGACACGTTCTTCGACGGAGAAAATTTATATCGCGACAATACCAGATTACGGCTGGAAAAGGAAAATTTTCTTGGCGCCGGATGCGTTATCATTTCTCTAATGCAGAGTTAATGGCACTCTCTAGAACTGAAATCCACTGAAATTTCTGATTCCACGAGTGTGACTGGCAGAGCCATAGTCTCTTGGGCGACACAACTGTAAACGCATTTTTTATATCTAAAATGAAAATGAAAATTTTGTTATGGGAGTATTGGGAGGATTTTTCAGTAAAGAAGAACGGAAGGGAGTCCTGCATTAGCACCTTCCGAGTATTTTAAGACATTCGAAGCCTTCTTCATTCGCTACAACCTTAACAACAAAGATACTTATTTTTCAATCACCCGTTATTTTCGTTGACCTCAATACGATTGTCATTGGCTGATTAATGATCAGGTGGCTCGGCATAAATTTGAATGCAAATTTTTATCAGATATAAATGTATGTATATTTCTTTTTCTGCGGAATACATTGACTAACACGATGATTAACAAACTTACATTTTGAATCAGCTAAATTTTCCACTTTCAATTTCTTCAAAGTGAGGCATGCTTGGAACCTTAAGAAGTAGGAAATGATTTAAGTGTATTTGAAGATAAATTTGGTTTTGTCAACTGAGTAGATTGGCCACCGCAAAGAGTTTCTGTTGCTGATGTTTCGAGCTTTAGCCCTTCGTCATCGCTCTAACGAAGGGCTAGTGATCGAAACGTAAGCTTTTGAAACTCTTTACGGTGGCCAGTTTACCTTCTCGACTCAGCGGTTAATGACACCAAATTATCTTATTATATTCCCTAACGACTATCCTTATTTTCTACCCAATTCAGAGAGGCTAATATGTTACGGTTGCTTAAACATATATTTTCCTGTGCTTAAAACTAGCAGTAAAGGTGTTCAGTCATTCAATCGCAAAGCGCTCTTAAAGATACTTACGATAAAAGGCAAGGAAAGAAGTTTGATTTTTTTCCCTTCATTTTCGGGAAAATAGGAATTGACAGACTCACACATCGATTGCGAAATTTTGCAGAAATTGGAGCTAGAGTAGCCTTTCTCGTAGAGAGCTTCATTACAACGAGACATAGCTTAGAATAGCAACCTGGCTACAAAAAGAGTCTAATATTTAAAGAATATAAAGGTGTAAATATCTTGCTGATACTCACTTGTAGTTTCTTTGAACTAGTCTTTGGAAAGGTACGAACTTAAACGTTAACGTCGCGATCACCAGAGCATCATTGAACAAGAACAAACCAAGGTCTCCAACTTGTTGGTAAATCCTGACATAAATCAAGACAACAGAAAAATTAACCTACGGAGTTATCGGATACAATCTTGTTCTGAAGTGACCGTAACAATCCAAGGACCTGTTGGATCTGTCACACACATTCTATGGTAGAACATGATGTTTAACTTCTTATAAATGAGAGGGGCAGTTATAGAATCGTTTCAGGGAGAGTTTTAACGCCTCTATTTGCCAAAGGGGGAGAGCAAACATACTTAGTGCCTTTAAATCTAGTAATATGTGTGTATGATTTCATGTTTTGATTCTTTATACGATGTTGGAGCGCCTCCAACATTCCACTTTGGGCGCCGGCTTTTGGAAGGTCCCCTCTTCACTTAGATCTTTACCTATTTAATAACCTTCTCCCTCTCAAGAGAGTGTGTTAGTACTTCTTCTCACTATTTCCCATACAATTCTGATTCGGAGAACTTGGTATTGAATCAACTAATAATCCCCCAATTTAAATTAAAGTTTTCTTTATTCTCATCACTTATTTGCTTGACATTGTATTGATATTGTAGGAGAAATTGACTTGGTCACTCAGCTGGCTATTAACTGTGGAAAAACATTGAATAAAGATGTGCCTCATGATTTGATGTGTGCACATGACTATAGACTATTCAATAATTGCTTCTCATGATTTGATTCAGATCTAATTCCATTTACCTAAATTCTGGTTTTACTTCTTTGCCAGTGCTTGGAGTGGAAAGCAGAATGACATTCTCTTCACGAATGAAATGGCGACCCTTCTCAGCGAGCACCTGTAAATGCAAGTCAGCTATTACCTGCATGTAGGTAGGTAGGTAGGTCGGTCAGTCGCTCGCTCGCCCAGTCGCTCGGTCGGTAGGTAGGTAAGTAGGCGAGTAGTTCGGTCGGTAAGTAGGTCGGTCGGTCGGTCGGTCAATCAGTCGGTCGGTCGGTCGGTCGGTCGGTCGGTCAGTCGGTGATAAGTAGGTACATCGGAAGGTAGGTAAGTAGGTCGGTAAGTAGGTAGGTAGATCGGTTGGTAGGTAGGTAGGTGGTCAGTTGGTCGGTCGGTCGGTCGGTCGGTCGGTAGGTAGGTAGATCGGTCGGTAGGTAGGTAGGTAGGTAGGTAGGTAGGTAGGTAGGTAGGTAGGTAGGTAAAGACTGTGCTCGAGCCAAATGGCCCACCCAGCCGGAGCTTATTCCGGTTTCACAGCATGAAGCGAGTAGGCGTGGGTGGGACGCCAGTCCATTGCAAGGCTAAACCTCCCCAGCATTTCGCCAGGCTTCCCTGACAAGAGGCACTGTGAAAGTAAAGTATTTTTCCCAAGAACACAACAAACTGACCCGGCCAGTTCTTGAGCCCAGACCCCCTCGATCCGGAGTCCAGCGCACAGAAAATTAGGTCACCGCGTCTCCCACATTATAAGCATGTACCCTTTGTAGAATTTCGGTCTTGAGGTGTACTCTATTTAAGTTTGAGAATCCAAATGTGGAGACGAAGCCAGACGACTCACCGGGCAGTTGACTATTCTCCTCTGCAAATCTTGGAGAAACTTCTCTCTTTCTAGGCGGGTCTTGTACTGCAATAGGAACATTTCCATTTAATAAATGCTATCTGGAGAAACGAACGGAAATTTCGCATTCAGGTTTGGTTTTGGTTTTACGACTCTCAATCGAAATGCACTCTAGCTATAACGGAAGATCGTGTTAAATGTTTAGAACATATATCAATAGCATTTCCATTGCTTGTAGTTGTTGTTGTTTTGTTTTCGTGTGCTTTTTCCCTTTCGTTTTTTCTTCTCCTCTTATAAAAACTTAGACTAACTAATTGATACAGATAACACGAGTGTATCCAGCTGTATGTATCTAAAAGTGCTCTTAATATTGAATCTCTGCCTGACATAAGTGAACAAGACTTTAAATATTACAGTATACGCTTAAGTTATTTCACACACCATAAAACGGCCAAGACAATGTTCGTTATTACGTGATGAAAGTAGAAGTTTACAAAAACCAAGGAAAGCTCTCCTCTGTACCGTTTACCTCTCTGAATAAACAATAGAGATCCTTGAACCTCGCGATAACCTGGGTGAGAGTTTTCCTGTCCGCGTGATCTGAGGGCGTGTGCTTCAAGAAAGCTTCTAACAGTTCTACGTAACTAAATGCAAAGAAGAAAACAAGCTCTAATCGCATTTCGAATATGATGACAACTTGACAAATTTGGTAATGTTAGGTTCCATTTCTGGGCTAGAATGTTACTTTTTAAAAGGAAAAGAAGTTTGATAAGGCAACGCTTTAGTTTACTGACCTTTTCACTCGTCTTTCCGGAAGAAAAAGTAATTCTGGTAAACTGAAAATGAATCGTGACAAAAAGAGTAACTTTGCTGACTATAGAATTGGAAGCGAAATATTTTACGAATATTTCACTTCCAGTTAGCTCAATGGATAGAGCGCTGGACTGTTGTGCGGGAGGTCGAGGGTTCGAGCCACGGCCGGACCAACACTCAAGGTCTTAAAACAAGTGAGAAGAATATGCTACCTTTCTACAGTCCCCTCTACTAACTATGCTTTTTATAACAAGAAATGGTTAGATACTCTAGTCTTCTCGGATAGGGACGAATAAATGGAGGTCCCGTCTCCTGCGGGGTTAGGGGTAGGAGACGTTAATTTCCCATGCACGAGATGACTGTGTGATGGATGTCCTCCCCTGGGGTGGTTGCTGGGTGGGAATTGGCCCTGAAAGGCCCCCATGGGGAGTGGTCAATTAACATATGTATGTATGTAAGTATGT